GACCCACCTGCTTCAACTTTTGAGGGCTTAGGGTACAGAGAATAGACATGGTAAACAGCTACAATTAATACAAAGTTGAAAGTTTGAAAGCTAAAAGATGTACATGGCATTCATCAGACCCTATGCATACAAAAAGAAGAGCCACTTACCACAATACCTTCTCCCAAATGTTCATGCTTACAGGAAATCATTTATTTTTGTCTCTAGGTGGTACTGTATTTAGAATAGTTCTTCCAACACAAATGCATTTTTTCTAAGATTATCTCATAGCACATGAAGGTACAGGTCAAGTGGAAGGTTCCTGCATGGGGAAAACTTTTTAATTACCTCAGCAAACTGTAATTTTCAGAATTGCAAGCCAAGGTAAATTTACCAAGTGCTCAAGTTTTCAAATTAGCTACCTAATTCTTACAGTGGAGTTCAATCCTTTTTGAGGCTATCTTCAGCTTGATGATCCTGTTACATGCGAAATCGTTGAATGTTACTCAAATATTCAAATAATTACCTGATTGAATTTTTTTCTGGGTCTTAGCGTAAGAGAAAACCCAGATAGGACACGACTTACCTCCTCTTTTTTGCGCGGATCCTTTGTAGTTCGCTTCTCTTTGTTGATGACCTCTTTTCAGTCAGTTTTCAGGAGCGACTTTGTATTTCCTTCTCGCGTTGCGCTTTGCTAGAAACTCGCCTTTTTACTTATGTCCTTTATTGTTCTCTTTCGCGTTCCTCTCGCCGTATTCTGCCTATTTTGGTGTCCTTTCTAACTTTCTTGTGCGATTTTCTGGACTCGCTTTACGCCGTTTTCTTGTTGCTTTCTTTTGGATCATCTGTCTCTTTATATTCAGCCTATTTTCAATTAAAACCCTCTCTCCACGAACTTGAATTATAAACATTTCCTCCGGTTGACGAAGCTTAAACTCTTCTGGTATTGTTGCCTTACGAGTTGTTTAGAAATTGCAACATACTGAGAATTACTGTTCAACTACATCCTAATCAGTTTGATTTCCCGCTCAAATCACATTTACTAGCTCACGTGAAGCCCTCGTGCAACGCCTAACCGTATGCATGCAGTACGCTACTTTATAACTCGACATTTGAGTATGCGCACTTTATCGTTATTTGAAGGTGTCTCCTGGCGCACACTTATGGGGTATCCAAGTTACGAACGCAATCGCGCCTGCGCATTACCTTCTCCCTCGCCCTTCCATTACGTAATGGCTAAGATAGTGTCCGTGGTACAGTTGGCCGTGCATGCTAAAAGCAGCATCTTGTACGGTCCTACTGTCGTACAGCCAAAATTTTTCGGCTTGATGTGTTACTACTATTTTGTATAATTATGTGGCTATGCTGGAGCTCCACTATTATTCAGATAACGATCGACTTTTTCCTAATTGAACAGTTGCGCACAGCTTCCAAAATGCCAATTTTGCCATGCAAACCCTATGTTCGACTCTGAGTTTTATCGTCGGAAGATTATAAAGAACCTGAGGACGCTTTTAAGAAAATTAGTTGAGACACGGTAGGCTTTAGAAATTATTTTCTTAACAAAGTACATCGGCTCTTTGAAAAGGTGAGAGGTTCGGTCGCTTCAGTCAAGTCACGTGGTGTCCTAAATCACCCTCAGTCGTTTGTTTGTTCTTGTTCCTATTTCGTGTTTCTTAAGTATTTGCAAAGGTTTTTTTTTATGTCTCCTAAAGTACATTCGAGAAGTGGATTCCAGAATTTCGTGTGTAGTGCAATACAATTGAATGTTATTGTTAGTTTATTGCGAAAACGCCTGTAGTTACCACGTCTTAAATTAGCACCAAGAAAACATCGAAAGGACAGCTAGTCTATACTGAAAAACACATTTATAATTTTAACTTGTTTAATGCAACTTTTACTAGTAATGAAAACAGAAAAACTGAAATTAGATGAAAATAGAATTAGAAAGACGGTAAGTTTTGAGTCGGTAAACGTGGATTCAGATTTTTTTTTGTCCAACGCACGCGACAAGACGAAAAACATCTTTCTCTGTTTCCTAAAAGAGGTTGACAGAATCATGCAAAATTCTTCAGAGTGTCCATTTTACTCCTTTTTATGGAAAACCAGAGGAAATCACCAAAGTGTAACCTATCTGTCACCGAACTGAATGGGTTCGACAAATTTTAAACAACGCTATTGCCTAATCGATCGAAGGGTATGTTAGAGACAGGAATTCTTAATTCTTAATTATTATTCAGCTTGCGATCGACTTTTCCTTATTAAAAAGCTGCGCACAGCTCATAAAGTGCCAATTTTGATATGCAGACGCCTGGCACGGTTCTGAGTTTCATCGGCGGAAGATTATTAAAGAACCTGGGGACACTTTTAAGAAAGTTATTTGAGATAAGGCATGCTTTGAAGATTACTTTCTTAACAAATTTCTCTTAAATTATTTCAATGTTTCTAAATTAAAAGGGAGTTCACCCTAAATTTTAAGGGGAAGTGACGGTAAGGTGAGTTTCTGCAAGGGGAGGGTTGTCCATTACACCTTTGATTGGGGCGATTCATCCGAGGCTGTGTGAATTATGAAAATAACTTAAACCTCAGTCAAGATTGAAGGAAATCCATTTTTTTTTTAATTTTTATTTTTATGCGCAGATCAAAGCCTTCTATGGCATGAATATATCAAAAATGAAAAGGAAAACTACTTGAAAAAGTGGAGTGAATTGGCAGCTACAGCTGATCTCTTTGGGCGATCGAAGTAAAATATGTGTCAAAGAGAAATAGATTCAGATATTCGACACCTGTTTGTATGATGCCATGACTAAAGGCAACAAATGATAACCGTTTTGTGTTGAATTCGTTTGATAGGCTGTACTTGTTATTAGCCTATGTAGATTTCTTTTAGAATACATCTTTTTTTATACTCCGACGTGCTGTGATGAGAATGTGTCACGAGAATTCGGTAATAGCAGGACTTAGTCGGAGAGCATTCATGGACTCCTTAATATTTTCCCTCCTTATTTTTTAAATTTAATTCAAGACTTTTATCATTTGAAAGAATAAAAGAAAACGTCTTCAATGGCAGGAAGATATCAGAAATGAAAAAGAATAACTATTAAACAAGCGGAGTAAATTGGCGAGTGCAGGAGATATCTTGGATGGAAAAGAGTTTCAGATATATAATATCAGTTTTCGAAACTCGCTTGACTTTAAGGCGATGGATGATAACCGTTTTGTAAAAATATTGTTTGATATGCTTTTCTTGTTGTTAGCCTCTGCAAAAAATTATTTAGCTTAGCCTATTTTTTCTTTCGATTTCAATTTTATCATTTACTCTCAATTGGTAAAAGAGAAAGGGGAAAATGAAAGAATACTACTTTAAATACATCTTTCAAAAAAAAATCAGAAAGGAGAACAAAACAAACACAAAAATTAAACGCACTAGTAAAAGAAACGCACCAGTACTGAGAACGTTCAAACTCGAAGGGAACGCTGGAGACTTGGAGAAAGCCATTGCCAGCTTCAGAGTTATGACTTACGGAAATCAACATCATCCCCATCTGGCTAAGAAACTAATTAGTAAATGAAAAATGCGAAATAAAGTGGCGCTGATATCTGGTATGCAGATCCAGGTGAACTGGAAAGAGGACCAATTCTGAACTATGATAGAAATGATGATAAACATGATTACAAGAATAATAATCATACTAATGATATCGACCATTATGAAATTAATCATGATTATAATAATAACTATAATAATGATAAATCAAGTGAAACAGAAACAAAAAGACAAAGGAGCATCTTTGAAGTGTTGGCGCTTTATTTCCAACGCTAGTTATAAATTATGCATCCCATCTGATTATGAATAAACTGTCAGTCTTCACTTGTGTATTCAACAGAAGTAGCGAATAATACATGGCGCGCGCAGACATAGGATTTCTCATCTCGTGTTCAGCTCGATGTCCGACGAGTTCGCGCTAAGCTCGCTGCGCTCACTCGTGAGACGTCGATTTGAACACGAGAAAAGAAATTCAGAATTTACAAGCGACCATGTATTATTTTGTTTATTCACAGTCTTTATCGGCAAGTAAATTCAATTTTTTAACGAATGAAGAAAAATAGTATCCACCATTCAAGAAAAAATTCGTAAATTCCGTCGGTGATAAGGCTGAAGGTGAGAAAAAGAGTCGAATCATTTCAAAAACAGCAATGGGCGTAAATTTCAATTCCCATAATTCTCTCTCTGGGAACCTTTGAACCATACCAAATGAGATGTCATTCATCTAAATGATCTAGGACATATCTGATTGGTTCATGCATGTCATGTTTGTAGGAAATATATTGCGCTGTGTCGTTGAAGGGTGACCGGCTGTGGCATGTCACGCATCTTTCTGAGAAAGAGTGGAAAGTAGCCTGTGAATTCGAAAAAGTTCTATTTCTGTAATAAGCGGTCAATTCCATGCGACACGACAAAATGAAGAAAAGCATGGAAAGGCGTTTTCCGAGCAGGAATTGAAAAATATAGCAAACGAACATAAAAAAAATAAGACCTATCTACTACAATTTTTGACTGAAAGATGATTATCTCAATTTAAGTGAGGATAGGCGAACTTAGGAATCGGAATGTCACTTTTTTTTGCAATAATCGGCTTACGCGAACGGAAAGTAACAAGCTCAATAGTCACTGATTCGTGACTCGTAAAAAGTGTTCAAAATCTCTTTGAAACAGCCTAAAGGATTTTGTTGGCTTTCTTAAGCAGCTATAGGAACTAGTTGCCTTGCACGACCTGTAAGGAAACAAAGGTCGTCTTCATAACGGAGATTGGTTTTTTGAAAGGACGTAGCTAACATTTACGAAAACGTACGGAAGGAGGGATGTAAGACCATGGGTAAACTTTGTTGCCTTACGGGATACCAAAATAAAGTGTGGAGGTTACGTCAGTCAAGTCTCTTTCACATTACTCTGTTGTCAAATCATTGCCGGAAATACCATAATATTTCTCAATTATTTGGAATAGGAAAAGACTTCTCAGATGACTTATTCACCGGAGTGTATAACCTGGATGGTTGTGGGCCTGACTGAATCTGTCACCATAATAGCTCTGAATTCTTTGACAGTGATTGCGTTTTGTAGAGACCGTAATCTTCGTAAACGATCAACGTACTTGGTGATAAGCTTAGCAGTTGCAGACATGTTATCCGGGGGAAGTTCTGCACTCAACTTCTTCGATGATGTTGGAGAGACATGGAACCTTTGGAGGCACAATAGAGCGTATTGGTATATACCTCAGGTGTTCATCCTCTGGTTTCCCGTTTGTTCGTTAACAAATATGACTGTTATTTCTCTAGAACGCCTCAATGCAACGTTTTGGCCCTTCAGACATCACACGATCAAAAAGTCAGTCTACTGGGTTCTTATAATCGCCATCTGGTTGACAACACTACTTTTTTGTGCGTTAACAATGAAATATCACCATGCATATAAAGAGGATTATTATCACTACGCTTGGGGTTCATTCATCTCAATTTGTCTTTTGGTCATTTGTGTTTCTTACGTTTTTATTTTTGTCAAGCTTCGCTTTGGAAATCAGCCTCGACACCATGGCGCAGCAAATAGGGAAAGGAAACTGACCGTGACGTTGTTCACCGTGACTACTCTTTCTCTTCTATTGTGGCTGCCTTATCTTATAGCTAGTTTTCTGTTTTTTGCCGCTAACGTTTTAAGTTCACTATCTGAAACAGCGCTTTTCCATTTAGAACGTGTTTCAGTGATCTTGTTTTACGCAAACTGTTTTTTAAATCCGATATTGTATACTATGAGAATGCCAGGCTTTAGGCGAGCTTTAAAGTTATTATGTCGCCAACGACCTCAGGCACACAGACAGGTTGAGATCATTCCCCTCGGTGAGATTAACCCACAAATTTGAATTTAATTTGTTTGGGAGAAATCAACATCCACAAAGGTTGTGTGAAGGTACTCTTGGATAGGAAGTTTGCTCTAAACTCTCCAACATCTGCATTAAATTAAAAAAAAAAAGAAAAGAAAAAAAGGAAAGGTAAAAAGGAGGAAAATTGAATTAATCAGATTACGTCGAGGATCATTTTATTGTTAAACGTGGTTCCTTTGTATGTTTCGTTTCTAAGGTTTCATTTTGCATTTTGTTCATTTAGGTTTGTTCGATGATCTCTATTATTAATAGGTTTAGTTTTGCATCAGTTTAGGCTTAGTTTGCATCTGTTTAATTTGAGTTCACGCTTTTTTGAGCGCGATTATGTCAAAGCCGTTATTACCACTCTGTTTCGCTTTGATCGTTTCTGTCGCTTTGCCTTGATTCGCTTCACTTTTTGTATAGGTTTACTGGATTCAGTTTTTGTAAAAGAAGTAAATATGAGCACGTTAGAAACTGTGATCGCAATGTTAATCAGATTGTGCAATTGAACGTTATTATATTATGTCAATATCCTAAAATTAACATGCATTTCCTCCATACTGTTCTCGATATATTTCCAATGGATTTGATAAGGAGAATTTGTTAAGCAATCAAGGGTTCTTAAGTTGATGATCATTTCCTTTATTCTCCTGACCTTTTTGTTTTATTCAGGGGTGATACTGTAAGGAGAAATTGGATGTAAGTCAATCTTAGAGTTCAAAGGGTTAACAGCTAAAGGATTTGTAGATGAGCTAGATGACAGCTCTTCATCAATTTGAAAATACACAAAATCAGAAAGAAAGGATGTGATAAGCTAAGTTATTTACTTATTTATCTCAGTAAGTAATGGTAATAGGACTGAGTGGAGTCCATCTCGGTCTGCAATCATACTTTGTTACCAAGAATATGATTTCAGACCGAATTGGACTCCACGACGTCTTTTTACCAATTAATCACAAAAATTACAATTTGCGAGAAAAGATGATTACCCAAGTTATGAAAAAAAAGGAAAATTTGCATCTAGACTGACAAGGTGATTTGTGTTTCTATGGTGATTGAAACCGAGGATGTGATTGGTTGATTTAAACTACAACTTTGGATGTAATTGGCTTATTGAACTGTCACATAACAAACTGTCCCATAACAACTTGGCAAGTAAATTAATGGAAAAAGTGAGTTTTTGAAAACAATCACAATCGTGGAAACTGTAGTTTTTTATGATTAAGACTGACACTTTCAGCATAAATGTATTATTTAAAGAGAGAACAGGGAACAGAGAACAGGAATCAGGGAACAGGATGCAGAGAACAGGAAACAGAGAACAGTAAACAGAGATCAGGAAATAGAGAACACGAAAGAGTGCACAGGAACAGAGAAAAAGAAACAGAGAACGGGGAACAGAGAACAGAGAACAAGGAACGGGAAACAATGAACGGGGAACGGAGAACAGGGAACGGGGAACAGGGAGAAGTGGATCACAGAATTTACGTGTGCGGTCCAAGACATTTGAATTTTATTGTTTATTATTGCAGAAAACGTCTAAAATTAACACCACAAAAACAATTGACAAGACAACTTGTTTATACTGAAAAACACATTTCTAATTTTAACTTGTTTAACTTGCAAATTTTACCGGTAATGAAAACAGAAAAAACTGAAATTAGATTAACTCCTACAAGCAGAAGACGGAATCTTTAACGCGTCTTTAGTGCTCCTTTGTAACATAACTGTCACCTGGTTGAATGAGTTAGACAAATGTTAAACCACGCTATTGCCTAACTGATCGGAGGGTATGTTAGAGACAGGAATTCTCCACACCATTCTGATACCTGGCCACAGGCGACAGTCAACCTTTAGTCTCCGCGTGACTCAGACTTATTGTCCCGGCTTTTCTTGTCACATATCGTTTATTAAGAAACAAATTATAAAAACGCTTCAGTTTTATACATATGAAGAGAGATAATTCTTCAGCTCACGGTCGACTTTTTCCTTTTTGAACAGCTGCGCACAACTCCTAAAATACCAATTTTGTCATGTAAACACCTTGATTGATTCTTAGTTTTATCACCTGATGATTATAAAAAAACCTGAGGACGCTTCTAGGAAAGTTACTGGAGATAAGGTTATTTTCTCAATAAAGGTACAACGGTAGAACTTAAATTAAAAAGAATAAGAAAGATGGTAGGTTTTGAGTCGGTAAAGAAATGGAGAAAGATGTTTTTCGTCTTGTCGCGAGCGTTAGACAAACAAAAAATTTTTCTGAGTCCCCATGAGGAATTGAACCGCAGACCTTTGGATTCCGCGCTCGGATGCTCTACCACAGAGCCACAGAGATTCTATAGTGAGCGAGGCCTTTTACGAAATTTGTGTTTGACATCTTTCTCTATTTCTTTACCAAACTCATAGCTTATCATCTTTCTTATTCTATTAACAAACATGACGCTATCGACATCGCTGAATCGCTGATCCTAGCAGTATAAATGGACGTGTGTCATACATGACGTGTGTCTTGTCACGCTCGTGACAAGACGAAAAACATCTTCTTCTGAAATTAAACCGTTTCCTAAAATCAGTTGACAGAATCATGCAAAATTCTTCAGAGCGTCTTAATTGCTCCTTTCTATGGAAAACTACAGGAAATCACCCCGGTGTAACCTATCTGTCACCTAATTGAATGGATTCGACAAATTTTAAACGATGCTATTGCCTAACCGATCGGAGGGTATGTTAGAGACAGGAACTCTTAACTCTGAATCATTATTCAGCTCGCGATCGACTATTTCCTTAGTAAACAGCTGCATACAGTACATAGAATGCCAATTTTGCCATGCAAACGCCTTGTACGATTCTAAGTTTCATCGGCGGAAGATTATAAAGAACCTGAGGAGGCTTTTAAGAAAGTTATTGGAGATAAGACAGGTTTTGAAGATTATTTTCTCAACAAATTGCTCATAAGGGAGAGGTTGTCAGTAATTTTCAAGAATTCGGTGGCAGAAGCAAAAATTCAAATTTTTTGTTATTTGCTCCGATGTTATGGTCGTCTGAAGTATGGCAAAATTCAGCGTACAATACTCAGCGTACAATACAAAATATAGTGTTATTTATGCGGGTGGTTAGTGAGTGAGTTTCTGATAAAGGAGAGTTGTCCAATACACTCAAATTGGGTCGATTTATCTGAGGCTGTGTGAATTATGAAAATAACTCAGTAGAACTTCGTGTCACTAAGGTGACATGAGGTCAAGTAAACCCAACTTTCTTTGACGTAGATCAACGTCTTCTGTGGCATGAATGTATCAAAAATTTAAAAAGGGAAAACTACTTGAAAAAGTGGACTGAATTGACAAGCTGATATCTTCGGGCGATCGAAGTAAAATGTGTGTCAATGAGAAATTGGTTTAGATATTAGACACTTGTTTGTATGACACCACGTTTGAAGGTAAAGAATGAGAACCAGAAACGTTTAGAACTGCTAAACAAGCGGAGGAAATTGGCGCGTGCAGGTGATATCTTGGATGGAAAAGATTTTCAGATATAGAGTATCAGTTTTCCAAACTCGCTTGACATAACGCGACTTTTCTTGTTATTAGCCTTTGTAAAAAAAATAAATAAATAAGGAAACAATTTTCTTTACCGGCAAGTAAAGTCGATTTTATCAAAGAATGAAAAAATAGGATCCACCATCGAAGAAAAAAGTCGTAAATTGCTTAGGCGATAAGGCTAAAGATAAAAAAAAAGCATTGAATCATTACAAAAACAAGGAAAATGAGAAAAATTGGATTCATCAGATTAAGTTAGGGATCATTCATTACTTATCGCCTGGTTAAGGGGATGGGGGAGAGAAGTTTTTGGGGGAATCATATGGTTGTTAGGGGAAAAGGAAGGAGGATCAGACGTCATCAACAGATTCTAAAGGGGAGACTGTAGAAAACTGACTTTCAATGACCTGTCCTTTAGGCGTGTTCTCTTTCGAATTCACTTTACGGCACAAAAACCCTTGTTCATCGTTAGTTTTCCGAAATGGTGAAAGACTGAAAAATTCGACATCATACCAACTTTTTCTGATATCTGAAAACTGATGGCAAATTTACTGTTCACCCCTAGTAAAACGCAAGAAAAAAACGAAGTTCATCACATGTTACCCTGCACCAGGAAAATGCCAATGAATAGCCTGTTTTCTTGAAAGTCTTTCTATAGTTTTCCTGTGTGCGCGAACGCTTCATTTTCCACGTGTTTTCCCACAGAATTACTGACGGTTAATGTCATGAAAACATGATATTTGTCTATTATTTTCCTGCTCCACGAAAACGCTAGTGTAGAGCTTGTTTTCCTGAACGTTTTTCCATAGTTTTCCCGAGAGCGCAAACACTGCATTTTCCCAGCATTTTCCCCACAGAATTACTAACGGTGAATGCCGTGAAAACATGATGTTTTTCTATTGTTTTCCTGCTCCACGAAAACGCTAGTGTATAGCTTGTTTTCCTGAACGTTTTTCTATAGTTTTTCCCGAGCGCGCGAGCGCTGCATTTTCCAAGCGTTTTCCCACAGAGTTAACAACGGTGAATGCAATGAAAACATGATGTTTGTTGATTCTTTTCCTGCTCCACGAAAACGCCAGTGTACAGCTTGTTTTCCTGACCGTTTTTCTATAGTTTTCCCAAGCGCGCGAACGTTGCATTTTCCAAGTGTTTTCACACAGAATCACGAACAGTGAAGGCCATGAAAACATGTTGCTCGTCCAATGTTTTCCTGCTCCATGGAAACGGCAGTAAACAGCTTGCACTGTTTACCAGAATGTTTTTCTGTAGTTTTCGTGAGCGTACGAGCGCTGAATTCTCCAAGTGTTTTTACACACAATTATTAACGGTAAACGTAAAGAAAACATGATGTTCGTCCATTATATTCTTGCTCTATGGAAACGCTAATGAATAGTTTGTTTTCTGGAACGCCATGAAAACAACATGTTCATCGATCGTGATCATTATTTCCTGCTCTTGATCCTGCCCCATGAATATTCATAGTATTAACAACGATTAGTTCATTTGAGCCGTCATTGAGCCGTTTGGGTCATTTGAGGCAGTTGAGCTTATTGGGTCATTTATGTGGATTGGGTCATTTGAGGCAGTTGGGTCACTGGAACTGATTAGCTCATTTGAGGCAGTTGGGCCACTGGAGCCAATTAGGTCATTTGAGGCGATACAGTTATCTGAGCAGGTTGGGTTATTTTGGTAGTTGGCTTATTGGAACTGATTGAGTTATTTGAGGCAGTTGGGTCACTGGAACTGATTAGCTCATTTGAGGCAATTCAGTTATCTGAGCTGGTTGGGTCATTTGAGGCAGTTGGTTCATTGGAACTGATAAGGTCATTTTAGGCAATTCGGTTATTTGAGCTGATTGGGTCATTTGAGGAAGTTGGCTCATTGGAACTGAAAAGCTCATTTGAGGCAGTTGGGCCTCTGGAACCAATTGGGTCATTTGAGGCAATTCAGTTATTTGAGCTGGTTGGGTCATTTTGGCAGTTGGCTAATTGGGACTGATTGGGTCATTTGAGGCAATTCAGTCATTTGAGCTGATTGGGTCATTTGAGGCAGTTGGGTCTGATTGGATCAAATGATTAGATAATTTGTGTCTGTTAGAGATATGGCCAATCATATCCTGTGGTCTAGCGGGCCATTAGTGTCTATTGGATAATTCATGTCTATTGGGTAGTTTGTTTCTGTTGTATCATTTGAGTCTGTCGGATTATTTGTCCCTTTTAGATCATTTCGTGTCTGTTGGATCATTTTGTCTATTGGATCATTTGTGTCTCTTTGATCATTTGTGTCTCTTGGATCATTTGTCTCTTGGATCATTTGTGTCAATTGGGTCATATGTCCAGTTTGGTATTGCTGGTCCCATGGCTCATTTGTACCAGTTTGGTAATTTGTGGTTAATAGGTAGTTATATCAGAAATAGAATTAATATAATGATCATTGAAACATTATCATACTTCATTTTGCTGAGCCTCTCCGCATGCAGTATATGAGCTAAGCATATGCAAAATACAACGACATGGAAGACATAATCCTTATATTTTATCATTGCATTTCAATAACTTGTACGACAGTAGTTTTTCAACTCAAAATAAAAAATCAGTGCAATGCAGCCTTATATCAGTCTAACTTGTTACTCCGAGAACATTTTCTTGTTTGTAAACTTTTTCTCCTAAAGAACAGTTGGATTTAATTCTCTGAACTGGCATGAAACATGCTTGGCCAAATCAAATGAGTTACACCAGATTTCCACTGACACTCCATGTGAAAAACGTTCCGGATGAACTGAGTACCAATTCACTCATGCAAAGTAAAACATGTATTGCTGCTCTGACAAATAAGATTCTGCTATTTTAACCTTAATACGGTGACGAAAAAATGAAAGAACTTGTCCTGGCCTGACATCATTACATCCACTGCTATAGATCAAAGCCT